TATTACAAGATGAAGTACCATTCTTAGACGAAGAAACATCCATACAAATTGAACTAGAAGAAGAAGAAAAAATAGATCTAGAAGTGAACAAAAAAAAAAGTAGAGCATTGATAGAGAAGTCGTAATGGAACATACTTTAGGACTTATAGAAACGGAAGCTATTTCTAAAGACATTAATACAATACTGCAACGATACACTATGGTATTAAATCAAAAAGATTTTAAAGTACATTGTCAAAAAGAGAATTGTAAATCATCGCTTAAATTAAATAAAGAGAAGATATATTGCATACATAATCATTGGGAAATACATCACGGGCCGAAAAATAAGATATACAATGAAGTAAAAAATAATCAAACTATACAATATATATTTAAAAATTACAAAATAACGGATGGAAACCTAGCAAGCTGCTCTGATTGTGAATATTCAGAAAATTTGGAAGAAGACACTCAATTGTCACTAGACAAATTGTATAAGATGCACGAACACTAGATGTATAAACATAAGTATGGAAAAAATATTTTTTAGACATATCAAAACGGGTAAAAGTTAATTATGTTTTACTTGTTTTATTTCTATAACTTCATAATAATCCAAAAGTAATGGCGATTGTTGGCCTGACTTCGGTTTTGTACTACCAAAAAACATCTTATGATAAACATTTTACAAATAGTAATATAATCACAAAGCAATTAAACACGAAAAAGCGTCAATTACGGTCAAATTAGACACATGAATACATATGTACTCTAAATAAAATCATCTTAGAAATGGCTGCGCAACAATTACTTTTGGCTTTTCAACACATAGTCAATGTGAAATATTATAATAACCTCTCAAATTTAATTATACAAGTAAATTTTAACTTCATGCTACTAGCATCTTAAAAACTGTAAAGAACTTCTCGAGAAAAATGTAACTTTTTATTATTTAAAATACATACGACACCTTGTAAAATAAAGAATAACTTTAAATATGCATTATAATGCATGCATAAATAAACTGCATTATTCGAATACTTGAAATAATACGTTTCTAATAATCTCAGATATGTATTTTTTTCGCGTAAAAATTGAATTCGACGTAAGTCGATATTTATTTAACAAACATAAAATGCATGACAAATTAAACAAAAATTTAATAATTTTATCTTTGATTAATACTTATTAGTTATTACTAGGAACTACTCTGTTGTTACATATTTTAATCAGTAACAATAAAATGAAAATGCGAGATATGCTGGCGTTAATAAATACATAATTTGAAGAAATTGAAAATTGAAATTATCTGCCAAAAACAAATTTTTTCAAACTTGCATTATTCCAGTATTTTTTATAATTCTCTATTAGATTACTGTTACAATTAAGCACAGAACAAATACATACTATTAACATTATCGATATAATATTTAATATAATATGTGTAATAAATAATACATATCTGTACTATTTTTACTGTGAAATAGAAATACAGTAAATAACGATATTCATAATATATTTACTATCTCCCCTATATCTGTGCATATATAGGGATTATTAATTAACACAGGAGATTAAATTACATGGTTCTAAGCAATAGTTAAATATGATAGCAACTATTGATTTGTACCATTGATTTATACAATTGCAATGATAATTTGCAATGATACTATTTATGTATTTTATTATAATTCGATCACACATACTTGTGTTCATATATTGTAAAAGAATCGTAATAAAATTTTATACATCATTAAACAAAATAATGAATGGGAAATTTCTATTCCACGTGCATACACAGAATGTTTGAGTTGCCTAATAAAGCATGATTTACATTATATTATATTTATAACGCAACATTAGAACAGCATTCAAATAGAATGAATATTTCTACCAAATGTTGTAATTTTTTTTGTCACAATATATTTCTTTGTCTTCTCCTTCTATTATTTAAATATTTTATTTAATATATTACGAAAAATTTATTTAATAATAATGCTATATAGATTATATACACAATTAATAATGCTATATGATTACATATACAATTTGAAATTTATAAATTTTAGTACTTTGTAGAGAAATATTTCATGAGATTTTGCAAACTGGCTTAAGTAATCTTAAGTATGTTATATTTTGAGATAATATCTCTCTTTATCTTTCTCTAATAGAAAAAAGTTATTTAAATTAAGCATACGAAAATGATAGCATGCTGATTATCATTTTTATATATTCCGTTAAAAATAAAATTTTATCAGTTATCACACACATGTACATAAAAATCTCTCTGATTGTACGATGTCAAAAAAACTGTAAGTTATTCTGTTCTACGGCTTATCGTAAAATTCTACCACCATCTGTGTCTTTTTGATGTCGAAAACAAAACTTAAATTATTTCCATTTGAATTCAAAAATTTCCACAAATACTTGACTATCTTATTCTTATTTATGTAGTGTAATATATGATGTATATCATTATACATACATTCTTCAACAGGAATATAGCTCTCGTCAAGCTGGCATAGTGGTGGCTTGCTTGATCTCTATTCTGTTGGTAGTCATTTGCGTTGAAGCTCTCAAGAGCCGCAAAGAACAACGGGAAAATGTGGAGATTTTACAATTAACAAAATATCGAACTCTCTTTGCTGTCAATTCCGAGGTAAATCCTGTACATAATTGCGACTAAAACGCCATATGATATTTTTCAGGAGAACTGCAACGGTTGAGGAAAATCAACGAGGATAAGAAGTCGTATCTTTTATGGACCAAGCAAAACTACGAAAATTAATTAGAGGAAATCTTATATGCCTAATTTTTAAAAATGTAAAACTTTGTATGTCATTCATATATCATTTCGCATAACTTGTAATTCAACTCAATACCACTCAGTAGATATTACCCTAAAAAAAATTTTGCATTTTTTGAACAGTCACAAAACAGTTATATGAACTTCTGTCTAGTAACTGAGAAGGAAAATTACTTAGGATTCCAATCAAACTTTTGTTTGTTGTTACTGCACACAAAAGCAGCTTAAAATCTGAATCAATTTACTAATAGAAGCGAAACAAATAATAGATGTTAAATTGATTAATAAGAAAGACAACTGCTTATAAAATGGACAGAATAAAATTATACCTCGTTTTGGTTCACTTCCTATTCCTATTATAGGTACAACTGAGTAATGAGAATACAATAATGTTAAACAGTAATTAGAAAGAGCCTAGGAAAACGGCATACTTTTTTACCGAGGTATATTGTCATATCTGTTATTTAAGTATACATATTTAAGAACTACATTTAAGGCGGCAACAAATTCGTATTTATCCTTTTTTTCTTAATTTTTTTGTTACTCTACTGTTGCTTGCGCTATAAGTGTGCACAATGATAAGAAAAAACAATACTTTCTCCTTCTTCCAAATGAGACATCTTCTTCTAAATTAAACTTTCAAACTAATCAATTTTTCAAAAATACATTAATAAATTAGAATAAAAAGAATCTCTTTTTTTTTCAAAGCTGCTCAAGTTACGTATGATATTCCGTCATATATATTGCTGCACTGTTTATTTTGCAAGCAGGATTTGTGAATTTATCCGCGAAAAGAAATGGAAACACAGATACCTATACAAAACATTAAAAAAAAAGATAAATAATAGGGAGCATATAGCACTACATGTTTTTAGCAAAAGTCATATATATAAAATTATATTAACCTATCATTGCGGTGATCGTATACCTTACTGTAAAGAATAGTTTTTTATTTCAGATAGCTTCGTTAGATTTATATATTCTTTTAATATTCAATTTTATCTTTCATTTTTGTAATACTACAGTAAATTCCTTTTCAATCAGCATTCCAATGTTTAATGTACTGGTGTGTGTACTCGTTAAAATTTCAATTAAATTTCACTACATTCGAATAGTTTTTTTTTTCCAAATTTAAGAAATTCAAAACTGAAATAATTCGAAATTTCAAATCATCGATTGTTCGATTTTGAATTACTCGCTCGTTTATTTGCCTTTTTTATACGGGACTCTTCCCTGTTACATACAAGATGCATCAACACATTACGCGTGGCAAGAAACGACGCAGTAGCCGAATAAGCGTTCTATATCTCTCGTTTCGGTTATTGTATTTTGATGAATATGTCGTCCTAAGTATCATGCTAGAACAATCTGCAGTCGTTCCATACAATATATGTATGGAATATATTAATTGTTGTTCTGTGATATAGATAATGCTGCGCCGTGATCAAAATTTGAGACTGTTTTTAGTGTTCTACACTAAACAGTACTATAATTCTCTTTTTCACTTTTGCCAAATATATACTTATTTCACTTTAAGTTCCAAAAGCATACCCTAGCCACAGAATTCACATATCAGAACGCTAACATTTTGTATGAAAATATAACGCTTTATAAAATATTCAAATGCTTCTTTCTATAGATTAATTTTATTTAATTATTATTGCATATTTTATGTTTCATAAACCATTTGACATCGTTTAAGTTATTCTTACAATTATATTTAATAGTTTATTAATTTTACGTCGCATTAACAAACATTAATTAAAAATCGTTCGGTGTTGCGCATTGCATACCTCAGCTTTTTTTATTAATTGCTGTTATGCAAACATATTTTAAAATTACTGTATTAATTAATTGTTTCAAGAAGAGAATCCTATTTTAAGATTTATATTTTAAAAATAATGACATTTCTAATATAAGAATGTCCTTTCTTCCTCTGTGTGTTTCAATAATTTAAGATTTTAGAATTTTATTAAATGTTAGAATTGTAATAAATATTTATTGAGATGTAGAGCTACACAATTTGTCGGTCAAATGGTATATTTAATACACACAAACTAACTAAAGTTATCAGTATTTACATTTTCTGACAAGGAGACGTGTATCTTTCCTTGACTTCTTAGTTATGATCAATTTTAAAATAGTAAACACTTCTCCAAGTAATAAGCAGTTAGTCGTGAGCAATCCATGTTAGTGAACGGTGTTAACGAAAATGGCTCAACAGCGACCAGAAGATATAGTGCAGCTTTACACAGAATCGGGGTTAGACGCGGAACACAATCAGTTATTCAAATGTGAATGCTGTAGACAAGAGTCAAAACCTGATTATACCGTCGATTATGGTAGAATGATACGTCATTTATACATAATGCATGATAAATCAGAAATAATGGACAACCCAGAATATAAATCCGTAGTAATAAGCTTTAACTTTCAACGTCAACATAAATACGAAATCGTTGGGAAATGTATTGTATCAAATTGTGGTGTGATAATTAAAAGTAAATTTGGTAGAGCATTACCATTTAAAAACCATTTGATAACACATCACGCAGACGATAAAAAAAATTTTTTTGCAAAAGTAGTAGGGATTGTTGCTGGACGAAAAATACTAAATAATTACGAAATAACGGACACCGAAATTGCGAAGTGCTCATTTTGTCGGACGACAAAACCCTTGAAAAATTTGGACTCGCAAACTGCTAAAGTACTCGCGGACTTAGGAAAACATCTGAACTTACATAATACGTATGTAAAATGCATTCCTCAAATTTATCACACCCAAAAGCATAAAAAAATGACTTTATACATTCTGTTTATTTTTTTATACAATTTCGTTATTAATTTGAAAAACAGATTTTACAAATAGAATTGAAATTGAGCATATATTTTCATGAAATTAATATATTTATGAAATTAATTATATAAATTAATGTTATATAAATGCCTCTGATATGTGTATATCCTACATAAGAAAACAAGTGTAGTATAGTTGTCAGTACAGTTTTTGTAGCCTTATATGTACATTATTTTGTCATACGTACGAATATACGTTAAGTACATTTTACCATGTAACATTTAAGATGTTTAGTAATAACTTTTATAAATTAGATTGAAATATAAAAAATATTAGATGTCATTAGTTTCCGAATATAATAAATTTCAGTTAAATACAATTTTTACGTGCGCGTGTCAGATAATTATATTCGTACATGTACAGAATTGATAATAAGAAAAATCCCAGATAAATTGAATTACACTTAATAAAAAAATGTAGCGTTTTACGTTTCTGCCATAAATAATAAATTAATTCTTTGATAATGACCGTTATAATAATCATATAATTTACATATATTTATTAATACATAATTCCGTGCAAATTGCAGTCACTGGTAATCTACAAATCATTGTAATCTAAAATTGTCACGGAACTGATATAAAACAAAAATTAATAAACTATATTTAATAATCTTATGGATTCCACAGCTGTATTTCGAAAATACTACAAGTACCATTCTTAGACGAAGAAGCATCCATACAAATTGAATTAGAAGAAGAAGAAAAAATGCATCTAGAAGTGGATAAAAATAAGCAGAGCATTGATGAAGCAGTCGGAATGGAAGAGATTTTAAGAAGTATAGATGTTGCTTCAGAAGGTCTTAATATGCTACTGCAACGATACAATTCTGTAATTATAAACGATGGTAAAAAAAGTCCTATTGTAAAATGTGAAATAAATGAATGTGGACATCGAACTACATTAGTTAATGATAAGTTATACCGCATAAAAAATCATTGGGAAATACATCACGGGCCGAAAAATAAGATATACAATGAAGTAAAAAATGATCAAACTATGCAACAAATATTTCAAAGATACAAAATAATGTATGGAAACTTAGCAATCTGCTCTGTTTGTCAACATACAGAAAATTTGGAAGAAGACACTCAATTGTCACTCGACAAATTGCAGAATATACACAAACACTGGATGGATGATCACAGGTATGAAACAAATATTTTTTAGACATATCAAAACTAAAATAAGTTAATTACGCTTCACTTGTTTTATTTCTATAACTCCATAATAATCCTAAAGTAATGGCGATCGTTGGTCCGACGTCGAAATTGTTTCACCAAAATACGTCTTATGATAAACATTTTACAAATAATAATATAATCACAAAGCAATTAAACACGAAGAAGCCAATTACGATCAAAATTAGATACACGTATATGTATGTACTTTAAATGAAATCTCCTTAGAAATGATTGCGCAACAATTACTTTCGGCCTTTCAACATATAATTAATGTGAAATATTATAATAACCTCCCAAATTTATCAAGAAACTTTAAGTTTATGTTACTAGCATTTTCAAATCTTTGAATAAACTTTTTAAGAAAAACATAACTTATTATTTTCAAGATTATTTCATTTAAAATGCATACATGTATAGATGAAGCTATAAATAATCATGTTGTAGACAAACAAGATCCTTGCTTTATGTGTTTTAGTTTAGCACTTCATTTTGATCATAATTGTTTGATGTTACTTAATCGATTACATATTTGTACTTAATCGACTTACTGCAATAAATGGTCTCATTTCTAATTTTAATATTTATCCCGAAACATTTTTTTAGTTATGCAGATAAGAGAAGCAGACAATATCAAGAAGACAAATTCAATATCAAATTGCAAAATTTAAGGGAAAAAAGGCGAGAAGCTGCAACGCAAATATCACATCAAACGGAAAGGTATGAGATTCAAAAAGTACACATTGTTGAGTAATTGTTCACTTTTCTTATATTAAATAACATATGAAAATTAAATATTAATTTCCAATAAAAATATAATTTTTATTATGTTCCAAGAAATGCAATCAATTTTGAATTATGTTTTGCGTGATTTACAAATTAATAAATCACAAAATATTTAAATTCTTTTTAATTTTACAAATTTCAAATTTTTTTACGTAATATCGTCATCATATTTTCTGTATGTAGAATATAAGTAAAAAATACCAATATTTTCTTCTTATATATTGCATACGGAATTTATGATGATAGGATCAATAATGAATGTATGTAAGCACAAACAAGAAATTGCTGATAAACGCATCACGACGATTGTAGTTACTTCGTATGTAACGAAATACTGGTATGCATTTAGCATCCATGTATAATACAATGTATGAGTAATACGCTTCCTGTCTGAATTAATTCCAATGAACGGTCGTTCATTTATCTTAATTAAACAGTTTCTCATTAGTTAGTACAAAAATTGCAAAATAGCAAAAGACTACTTGTTCAATTTAAATTGTTTTATGTACCGTACTTTATATTTCTGATTGGACACCTTAGCAGCATATTTCAAGTCAATATATGCGTATTACATTATGTGATTTAGTTTCTATAGCATTATATTTCAAGATTCAATTTTAAAGATCAACATAAAACATAAGTAAATTACAAATATAAATATTAACGAATTGATAATATCAATACTGAATCTAAAAAATGCAAATTTTGATTTAATAACTCAACAGAATGAATACTTTGAATTTGATATATTATGTATATCATATAGCATTTTTCTGTTTTTTTAAATAATAGATAACATTTTCTATCTTTTTAATTTAATGATATGTGAACACAGATCTGGACAAAGCATTCCGAATGAGGATGTATTAGAGACACCAGAGACATCAGATTCTAGCGAAATACGAAGCGTTATGACTCAAAGTTCTTCGATTGTGAAATACGGGCCTGGACAATGCAGTTCGAGCCGTGATGAGGGTGTACCAGAGGCATCAGTATCTGGCGAAATGCAAAACACTACTACGCAAAGTCTTTTGACTGGGGAACCACTATCAAAACAACGGAGATTAGATTCTGGTAATTATTCGCTTTGTTTATGTCACGTAAAAATAAATCTTACATATTGTACAATTTGTAATAAATCTAACTTCTCCTGATCATATAAAACTGGATAATAGAACAAATTATAAAGAAAATTTTTTACTTCGTTACAATTTTTGTAATAATTCATCAAATGCTAATAAATAAAAAATATAGTAAAAACAGGATTACAGATGTTATAGATCGTATTGAATCCGAAAAGAATTCAAAGCTGCCGTTAATATAAGACATCTTTGTTCAAAGAATATTTTGCTATCTGTTTCAATAGTCCAAATTTATTAATTTTTAAAATAAAAAATTTCTTAAACTGAATTTTTTTTAAATAATTTTGAGAAGAGTGTAATTTTTCATTTTTTCAAAAGTATCGGTTATGTTACTTTTTTTCGTAAATCAGAAATGTAAAAAATAAAGACTTTTTTTACTGAAATTATCAAATTTTATTAATTTTCAGTTTTCAGTCATACAGAAAAAATTCACATGATGATAGAAGAACTTTTTAATTAATTTCACCTGTAATATATATGACTAGGAAAAGTGTTGTTGTATTAAAATTGATATAGCATTATACGAATTGAAACAGTTTAGAAGTGCCGGGAGAAGAACAATTTTCCAGTCCAAGCAATGATTTCAGTTTTTGAAATACGATTTCTCTAAATTATTATTATGATTAAACCTTTTGACAAAATCAATTGTACTAAGGTTCTGATTTTACATATTTATCATTTTTATAGATTCAGATGATGAATAAATATTACTGTGGCGGATTCCTATTTGACTATAAAAGCATTACGCAGACAAGTAGCATTCATATTTGGTTGGAAAATCAAAGAGTAAAACATGCATCTCTGATGAGTGTTTATCGTAATATGGTCATACAAATTAAATAATAGTATTTTTATAAATATAATAATCTATATTATAAGTATAATAATTATATCTAAATATAATAATCTATATCATTTTACATAAATCGTATTTTATTAACAACTTTTTTAAACTGTAAAAAGTTATTTGATTTGCAAATATGATTTATATAATGTTATTACACATTATTATATTCGAAAGATAAATAGTGCATGTATTCCAAATTGGATGCTACGCTTTTTTCTCAAAAAATTGACATGCGATGTATACAAAAACATGCGACGTAACCAAAAAAAATTTAGAATGTAAATATAAACGCGACAAGTATATTATTATGTTTAATGATATTAATAATTAAAGTATAAATATAATGTTGCCAATAAAATATAAATAGAATTATTAAATTAAAAAACAACGTTTAACGAAGAATAATTACGTTCAGTAATTAATAATTATATCCAGTGATTAATCGTACTCGAAAAACAAAACTGATACAATTACAAACGTATCATTTCAAATGACAATAAGTAACGGGCAAAGTAAGAGTCAAAACGTTGACTCTTACTTTGCCCGTTACTTATTGTCATTTGGTTTATATAGAAAGAGTCCTTTGATTTAGTACTTGTATCATTTCAAGTATTCGAATAATACAGTTTATTAATGCATATATTATAATGCATATTGAAAGTTATTTTTTATTTTATACAGGTGTCCGGAAATCGCCCACAATACTTTAAAAAGTGATTCGGAACCTAAGAAGAAATAAAAAAGCTTTGTAAAAATTGATACCGAAATAATTCATTTTCAAGTTACAACCACTTTTATATTAAGAAAGTTGTAATTGATTTCTTATAATCATAATCGTAATTTATTTCATTGTGTGTTAACATAAATAACTTCATTCTGGATAATTTTTGCGTTACCCAAGATGCATCATGCGAAAACATATTCTGTTTCGCATCTCTCCTCTTTTAATTTCTTTTGTTTAAAACATTTTTTTTACTAGTGGGATACCAAGCGGACTATACCTCCGCGAAGTGCATCCTGAGTAACACCAAAATAGTTCAAAATATCGTTAATACACTATGAAATAAATTAACATTGTAATTATAAAAAATCAATTACATTTTTTTTTAACATAAACGTGGTTATAATTCGGAAACGACTTATTTTCGGACTTATGTACAGCTCTTTTTTCTTCTTTTGGGTCCCGAATCGTTTCCTGAAGCATTGCAGGCGACTTTCCAGATACCTTGTATACTTACAAATTTTTTTTATTAATATTCTTGTTTTATTGGTACTTTTTTATATTTGTGTATTAATTATTATCTTTGTTTTTCAGAATTATAAATTGTTTAGTGCGATACTGTTTAAAAATAATTGTGCTTATTAAACGTATCATTAGTATTTTACGATAAAAAATACTGTCAATCATAATCTCGTCCATGCTACAGAATTTCTTTTCTCATATCTTAAAACAATAAATTAATAAAAGACTTCTATCATTTACATATGCGAAACATAAATAAACAGGGAATGCATAGGCTAAATTACTATAGAACTTATGTATTATTTCATTTTATAATGTGTTTATTTATACTTTGAT